ATTTTGTGAATGTAACAATCTCTCCCTGGAAAAGAGGAATTTCAAAGTGATAGGGACACAGATTGAAATAAATTTCATTAAAGTGATTTTTAAGGCAGAGGATTTTTGGATCTTTCTTGGGAGAATTTTGTAAACGTAGTAGTTTTCCCTTGAATTTGATAGCGAAGGGATATTTCAAAGTATCAAGGACATAGATAGAGATAAATTTGATTAAACTGATTTTCTGTGATCAAAGGATCGGAATGAATCTTACGGTTGGATCAATTATGTGTAACGCATAATGCGTTCACGCGTGAAATGCTGCGACTCTTTGATACCGGAACTCGTAAGCTGTGGCATGTTGAATGAGTTCAGAAGAATTGGTAGCTGACATTCGAAGCTCGTTTACGGTTTTATGAGAACGTACCCGATGAAGGGGAGAAGGATTAACGCCGCATTGATTTCTCATGGCTACGATTGGCCACAGATGACAAGTCGTCGGTGGATCTCCTTCGTCCTCCTATCACTTGTGATACTCGTAACTCTACCTTGTTACGAAAATCGTGGTACGTAGTAACATTATTTAGAAAAATCATTATATAGAAAGAATTTTAAAAGATTTTAGGTATTTCAGGAATTTTAAAGAGTTTTGATTCTGAGACATTTAATTTACAGAATTTTAAGAATTTTTAAATTTGAAAGAACTTCAAAAGAATTTTAAAATTTTTACGATACTTCGAAAATTTAGAATTCTTATCTTCTATTCACCGAAATCTCACCGAGAGAGCTCCGAGGACAAGGGGAATTTAAAGTTGATAAGTTGAGAGAAATTGAACATTTAAAAAAAATTTTCAAACTTGGCTTTTCTATTCTAATATAACATTCAGATAGCATAGTGTATATTAAAGATGCTCGTTGGCAAGTTTCAAAAAGCGTATTTCATTTAGTAATGAGTATTATCGTCTGCAACTTTTTCACATTAAAGCAACGTTCAATTTTCTTACACTTACAATTAGAGCAACAACAGATTAATCTTTAATTGATTATTTTCAAGGTATAAAGAGATTAGGATAGGAATATTGTTTTGCTAAAATTGTAAAATGCGATACATTGTTATTAAAACTGTTTAATTTCTAAATAAAATTATAAACGTTCTTTTTTTTTTATTTATTTAAACTGTAATAAATAAACGACATGGATTTTGTTGTGAATGAAATTGAATCGTAGACAGAAAAAAATGTTACGATCGGAAATTTCGGAGTTGATAAGCGAGTTTTTCAGTGTCATAATTGAGTGATACATAGTTGACGGAAGTGTGCCTCGCTGTTAGAGATCGTGGTGCAGCGAGCGTGAAACGAAAGAATGGGGAACGGTGGAAAAAACGGGAAGAAAAGTGTATTTTCAAGCGGTATTAACTTAAGTGGATCGAGAAAAAGCGAATGATTCGTATTTGAAATTCTAATATTGGCAATAAAAAGTAACATATCACTCCGTAAAAATAATTTTAAAGCAAATTGTATAGTTTTTTTTCTTTTCTTCTTGTTAAAGATAAAATTTATAGAAATCACGTAGAAGTGAACATGACGAACCATGAAATTACTAAAGTACGGTACATTACCAGAAATTAGAATAATTTGAAAAAGAAAACGAATACGAGTGAAGGTAGAATAAGTCCTTAATGGTTGTAAACGATGTGCGTGCACACATTTCGTGTACTAAAAGTAGTTTACTTCGAAAATAATTTCAAAACTATGCAAAGAAGTTTTTGTGCTGAGAGGTCATTTAGTAAAATGGGAATACTTAAGTGTTCTGGCGTTACGTAGATGTAATATCTTCCTGTCTAAATTACTACGTATTATTATAGTAATTATTATAATTTGATGATAACTGATCTAATATTATTTGTACATTTTGTTAGAATTCGTAATTGATTATTAAACAAATATTGTTTGTTAAATTACATTGCATGCATTGACTTATTGTTAAATGTAATTAAGAAAGTAAACAAATAACCTTGTTTTACATTGTTTCCGCAGCCAGGAATACTCCAAGTACACAGAAATTAATTAGAAATAGACAGATATATAAGTTACACAAAGACAAACCTTTATCTAACTATATAGATGATGATTGGGATAAAGGAAATCTTCACATAGAACAAAATGATGAGCCATGGGGTTCAGTGTCTATGCAGCAGCAGAAAGAAAACATTTATATACGCGAATCTTCGTCTACTAATTTTACGTACAATGATACACGAGATAATCAACTGTTGTAAGTTACATATTTTCCAAATTCAACAATTTTTTCATTATTATAATTACGATAATTTATTATTCTTGTTTTAATAGGGGTATTTATTTAACTTAATTTTAATTATATCGATTTTATCGGATAAGAAAAATAAATTTAAATTGTTTAGAGAATGTATATTTTTTTAGAGAACACAATGAACAGAGTTTGACACATAAAAGATTTAAAAGGGGTGTAATACATCTGTATAATATGGTAGTATGTGCTACTGGATGCAATCCTTTAGCTTATAAAGGATATGGATGTTACTGTGGTTTTTTGGGTTCAGGATATGTAATAGATGGAATAGATAAGTAAGTTATTACATAAATTTCTATTTAGGCGAATTTATAATAAACTTTTTAACAGCAATTAACAACATTTATTACATTAAAAGAATTAAAATTATATCTGATTTTAATATAATATCAACAAATACAAATTTAATTTTAGAAATACCTTCTTAACAAGATAAATTCAAAAACATTAACTTAAATAACAATTTAATTATTCTTTACAGATGTTGTAAAATGCATGATTGGTGCTATGATGCTACAGAATGTCCAATGTTGTCAGAGTATTTTGTACCATATTACTGGAGGTGTTACCGTGGATATAAACCAGTATGCGGTTGGTTTTAGTGAGCACACTGTTTTATAAGTTTCTTAATAACTTGTACCTAACCAAAGCACGTTTCTCTTTGCATTATAGCCGTTGAACACGGAAACTGGGGAGAATCTGGATCATGCGCTCAGCGATTATGTGAATGCGACCGTTCTTTCGCTGAATGTTTAAGACGTTATCCTTGCCCAACAACCAAAGCTGTATGCACTTCCTCACCTTGGAGATTGGTACAAAATCTTTTTATGATCATGTAACCGTTGATGCAGAATTATAAAACATAAATAATGAAATTGGAAGTTAATTAACTAATTTATAATTTGATCATGTTGCGTGCATATACCAAAGATAATAGAGGATGTTCTTTAGTAAGTATTGTAATATTTATCAAGATAAAAGGTACAAATTTTTTTACATTATAAATCAGCAAAACAATATGTATTAAAATAACGTCTGCCTTTATTTTATCTGTATTACTTTAGTAAAGGAATAAGTATTCATTAAAATGTAAAAAGAAATGTTTAGTAAAATCTTTATACAGCACATAATACTATTCATTCCCTTCTTTGTATAATAAAATCTTATTTACAGTGAACACTTTCAATTTTATCGTTTTAGTTATTTACAAAATATTTACGCCTCCAGTTAAATGTACGACTCTATTTTTATATCTTCTTGAAATATCTTTCTCGATCTGTAAAGAGAAAGAAAAGATCAATAGATAAATATATATATTGAGTAAGTACACAATAAAATAATACCTCTGTTTGCAGTTCTTTTGTTTTCTGTATAAGAAGTTGTAAAAGAGGTCGAATAGTATTAGCTTCGTCTGCAGCACTTTCTCTTTTTTCTTTTATAGTCTTTTGTAAAGTTATCATTTTATCAACTAAACTTAATTTTTGTTTTAATGACGAAGCTAAAACATCCACGTACCTATAAAAGCAAATAAATTATTGATTCGTTTAAAATAATATACAAATATAACATTTCTTTATTTGGATTACCTTCCAGAATGTTTGATGTTATGTAAATGCTGAACTTTAGTATTCAAAATTTCAGATATAACAACTTGAACATTATCTAACATATTCTGAGTTCTTTCTAAAGTGGAATGCTGTAGAATAGATGATGAATCTTGTAACTGACTGAAGCTCAAGAAATTTATACTATCATCGCCTTTAAACTCATATAAACGTAATTTAAGAAATGCTTCCAACTATAAAAAAATAGCTTGTTGAAGCAATACATTTTAGCAGTCATTCAAAATGACACACGTAGTTAAAAAAAAATGCAACAAAGTATGTACCTCAAATAATTGATTAATAAAATCACTTCTAGTAGCTGGATTATCAAGGACTGTATATGCTTCAGTGCCAGTAGCAGTTCCACCTTCATGACCAGCTGCTTCTACAACTATACCAGATTCTTCTAAAGAAATATTATAATCAATATCTCCAGGTGCAACATCTTCTACGTTTCCGTCACCCCAATCAATTTCACCTCCAACATCTAAATTAACATCATCACCAAAATCTATACCCCCATTTAAGTCAATCTCTCCAAAATCGATTCCCTAGATTAATATAAAAATTTCTGTTTTAAGGTTCTACAAATTATAATGTGTAACATTTTAGAATCATTTACATACAATATTATTAGCATCTTCAACTTTCTTCTTCCTTAAGTCATCATTCTCCAAACTTATATTTAAAGGTGGCTCACTAACTGATAGTGGAGCTTCTCCATAAATCCATTCATATGTGGTAGTGTTTCCTTTATCTAAGTTAATATAATTTAACATACCAATTATATATTTTACCATAGGAACACAACCACCATCATGCTGCCTACCAAGAGTGTATTCAACAAAGCCACAGTAAAATTCTACAGCTTTTTCTAATGATTTCGTTTTTTTGGCAATATTTTCATAAATGTCTGGAAGTTCTTTGACTTTCTCTGCTAGTTCCTGCTTAATATGTTCACCAGGAATACCCATTTGCTTAC